GAAAGAGCCGGTGATGTGAGGAAGAGGCTCTGAATCAGTCTCCAAGGAAAATGGAGATGGAAGAGCCTGGCTGTTGCTGTTTGACAACACAAAGGAGGAGGAGCAGAAAGCTTTGACGGTTATTAGGAGGAGAGGGAAGGAGAAACCAGAAGCAAACAATGAGGAAAAAAAAGCCTCTCTCTCACATTTGGAGCACAGCCCAAGGCAGGGCAGGATCCAGGTGACAGCAGAAGGGGCTACGCCGACAGCCAGGTGAAGAGGCTGAGGATGCCAGCACGTTCCCAATACATGGAGTGATCCAGAAAGAAGTCAGGGGGACAGGGAAGGGGCTGGGGTAGGGAAGGTGCGCTGTGCAACGGGAGGAACTATAAAGACGGGCACAGCATAGAGGAGGAAGCAGCCAGTAAAGGGCTGTGCTTTGCCAAAATGTAGCAGACAGGTAGAATTTAAGGCTGAGTGAGCAAAAGCTGGGAAGAAAAAAGAGACAGTGGAAGAGTGGGAGCAGGAGAGGGGAAGACCTGCTCAGTATGGAACTAAGGACAGTGTGGCAATGAAGCAGGGAGAACAGACAAGGCGAGGTGAAGCCATTCACAGCTTGAAAGGAGCTCAAGGGGTAAAGAGAAAGCGTGGCAGATGCCAGATGTATGTATCATGCTGCCGGAGGCTTCTGACACAAACCGGGGCTTGAGCAAGCAGCAATGCTAGAGAATATGTGAGGGCACCAGAGGGCTTGGGAAATGCCTGCCTTTCCTTGGGCCAGCGTGCAGAGCTCCACCAGAAACTCCACCTGTTAATGTGAAAGCTCTTTTTACAGCTAGGATCGATCTGTCTTGGCTGGAGTCACTGCTAGACTTTTCAAACTCACGTGCCTAAAGGTGGGTGACAGCCATCGCATGTTTGAGATATCCGTGGAAGATTGTGAAACAGTCTGAACTCACATTCCCAGGCCTTTTGTATAGAGTCAGAGAAGGGGATACAGACAGCGAACAAAAAAATTCACGAAGCTCATCTGTTGAGACAAGACTCATGTGGTACCAAGCAGCAGCCTCACAGGTTCAGAACGGGACTCTCTGAAGCCTATCATCAGCTTTCCCCAACAGCAAAGACATGTATTAAATAAAATCCTGGTATCCAGGTCCCTCAGCCCCCCAATATGAAGCAGCGCCAGAGAGGCAGCTCACAAGCTTCACTGTGCCAAGCATCTCCTTTCTGTTGGAGGAAGTGTGGAAGAGAATGGCTGTACCTCTCCAAACTGTCCTTCTCCCAGCTTTTCCTTGAGTCGCAGCTGCTGCCGTGGGAATTCACCCACTGAGATGTCCTTCTTGGTAAGTGAATCCACAGTGAGGGCTGGGACTGCATACATGTTGTTGCCAGTCACGCCTTGCAGGTGGACGATATCTGTTTCGGCATAGTGAGGAACATTGTTCTGAAAGCCTTGGTGAGGCGTGGACTTGGTCAGGTCAGGCTCAGCATAGTCCCCACTGCACACTAAGAGGAAACCAAAGAGAGGTGGAGTCAGACACACTCACTCCCTTAAAACCAGTATGGCCTGGCTTCCACTCCTCTGGATCCTGCAGACCTCTGGGAATTCAGCCTAGCTGCATGCCTACCACCTTGTACCAAGGTACACCCAGATGGAAGACTCTCCTTTATTTTAACCAGGGCTTAAACCAGAGCAAGACACATTTCTGCAGACACCAGAATACCTGTGAGGTGCCAGTGAATTCGTGTTAAGCAGCTGCCTCTCTATCCAGTCATGAGAGCTAAAATTCTTGCTAGAGGAGGAGGCATGAGTCTAAAGTGATTTCCTGTTTCTGATTCATCCTAAATATGATCTGTTCCCCTCTTTGCAACATCAAACTTGCTCTGGATTCGCTTCTGCAACAAGAACTGATTAGGGTCTCCATTTTCCATGTGATCTGTTAGCATGCTATGCTACCTCTTACAGTTTAGTCACACAAATATCATGGCATAACTCTTTATAATTAACTCCCTGTATGGTCAGTGTTACACAGAACTTTTGTTCTGCTTCAAATTCACATCCTGACTCAATCTAAATCAGTCTCCCTGTGTAGTATAGTGCTGGATCTTAGCAACTTGTTGGTGCTTGAGGAACGCAGCGCTGCCCTTCCATTCACTAATCAGCACTGCCATCACCGAGTACAAAACACTGTTGGAAACGTTCCCTTCTGCGTGCATCCAAAAGCTCCCCAGGGCTGGAAGCCAGGGCACCACTGACAATTCACTGCTGCATTTCCCTCTGCTTTTTCTAAGGGAATTTCAACATTGCTGCAGGACAAGGTGCCAAAGGTCTTCTCCACCAGCCAGTCTGGACAGCCCAGGAGTGCTGCAGGTAGCGACTCCACTGCCAAGGGGCTGATGAGACAAACGATGTGCGATTACTGTGATTGCGAAAACCAGCTCCTGCAAGATGACCTGGCTAATGTATGAACACAGTCTTCAAAGAGAACAATAAAAGGCCATCACCCTCTAGTGGGGCTGGTGCTCCATCTGCCAAAGTTACACACTAAAAAGTTTCTGAGCTCCAGAATATTGTTGTGGGTCCCTGGGTTAATACGGTATTGCATAGGAGTCAGAGGAGATTACTTAGACACTGAGAAGTGGCACATTCTAAAATCTGAGAGAAATAATAAAAGAATAAATGCGTAACTTCTGGAGACTGACGATTACATTACCTGAATCCTCTGCACTTTGGGAGAGTTCTGGAAGCTTTTGGAGCAGCGTAGCTGGCTGGTGATATTCCAAATCCAGTGGGAAAGCACGTTCATAGGTGGGATTTGACTGGTGGATCTGGGTTTGGTTGTTGGCAATGGTGTAGCTGTAGAAGGAGAGGCGAACTGTGGCATCCTCCTCCAGGATCCGACGTGGGGCCTGCAAAAGAGAAAAAAAAACTACTGAGGTGATGCTCAGTTGTTAAGTAACATATTGGCTGCAACCGCAGCAATTCCCAGTAAGACCTTGGACAGGGCTGGCATCCTCCCCTGCTGTGAGGAGGGGAGAATTATTCCACATAATTCTGAGCTCATTAGGGTTAATGCTTAGTATTGAACTTGTGTCTGCAGAATAGCCCCATTGTATTACCTTTTCCAACCTTTTTTGAACATATTGCTTCCAAAGAATTATGATTATAATCATCAGGAGCAGAAGAATAATAGCCACAAGGCAGCCCACGAGGATGGAGGTATTGGAGTCATCCGCTTTCTCTCCTATCCAGGTGCTGGTTACAGAAGATGTGGTTTCTGCAATCACAGAGGAATGAAGAAGAATCTGGAGTTAACAAAGCACAGGTTGTTATCTGTGCTGGCTCACTTCCTACAGTCTGGTACAGAAAAGATCTTAGGCAGCCTCCTGAGCATTAACATTAGCTGTGTTCACATTTTGCTCTTATCAGAAATTCTCATTTTGGAGGCTCGCAGCTAAGAATTGTGCAGAGGACTTCTGCAATCAAAGACTGTTCTTAGCATTGGAACAGATTCCTGCGATGGATCCACATTAGAGCAGACAGTTCTCAGAGTTTCACTGGCTGCACGTATGCCTTCAGCCCACTCGCTCTGAGGCAGCCTCGGCCAGCTGAGGGAAGCAGAAATAGCTGAGGCTCAGAGGATGGTAAGATGCAGCCCTGTGCATGAGGGCAATAAGCAGGCCATACCTGGATCTCCAGGAACGGAGGGAGAGACCATGTTAACTAGGATGTTACTGTGAAATCGCCCAACACTTGAGCCCTTGGCATGGCTAAGTGACAAAAGTCCTTACCCCAGGTCCCCTCAGTAACGTTGCACTCCGTTTCCAGGAGATCCGTTGTGCTTGTGGCTGCCGTAACAAAATTAGGATTCACGCTCTCCATGTCTGTGGAAGGGAAGGAAAGGTGTCAGTCCAACAACCTCCCTGCTCCGGCCAGCGGCCAGGGTGAGTGCAATCCCAACCACCACTCCTGCCTTCCCAAGCAGGACTGGGCCGAGCCCCATGCAGCAGGGCATGAACAACATGAGCAGAGACACCTGCTCACTCAGCACTTCCCAGCACACCTACAGAAATGAGCGGCTGCGTTGAGCAGCACGTACGTCCTGACCACGGCAAACCGTCAGTGTGTGCAGGATGCTCCCCTGAGCTTGGCCAGACACAGGGGACTGGAGCAAGAGCTTTTTTTTTTTCCCCCCCATTTTAGCATGATTATAAGAATTGCCATCCCAGGCTAGATATCAAGAGTCTGCCTAGTGCCACATGTGACAGAGGGTAGCCAGGAGGGGCTGCTATCAGCAAGATAAGCAGCAAGCTGCAATCAGAGCACTCCTTCCCCAGGAATGTCCTCTCACTATAGCAAATTAGGGACCTTTGAGTAGGAAGCTATAAGCCAGATCATTTCACTGTCAGTGCTGGTGGTTTTCTCCAGGACTCTTGTCCATTCCCTTCTAGAGCCTTTAAAGCACCTCATGGCACTGACTTCTGTGTCATACTTAAGACTTGAGAAAAAAAAATGTCAGCCTCTTATTTTTCATAATCTGCTAACTTGATCATCTGTAGATACACTTAAATTATTCATAACGAAATACTTGGTAAAGAGAAGTAAAAATAAACCCCATAAGCAGCAGGCAACTCTCTCAAAAAGAAGAAATGCTCTTTTTTTAGTCCAGTTTTTGGTTGCCCTGGTTGTGCTTCTGCACACATGCATCAGTATCAGCCTGAAAAGAATCCACTGTAGACTGGACCTTTCTGGCCCTGCGTAGCCCTTCCAACCCTCTCAGTGCTTCTACTACGTCCTCCTTCCTATCGTGTAGCCCCACAGTACCCTACACTCCTGTTAACCCCACGTCCTGCACCTTCACACCATCTCTTTTGCTCTCTGCTTCGCCAGATCTGCTTGACTGCAGGAATACTCACCTGACTGGAAGGAAATCTCGCTCATCATCATCCAGGTGTCAGCAAAGTAGAAGCGGCAAAGTATGGCTTTACCTACGCGCTGATTGAGGGGGACAGTCACAAACCTAGCGCTGGGATTTTTGTCATCTAAGACAGTTGCCACTCCAACAGGTTCAGACTCCCAGTCTGCAATCAGGCGTGGTTTGAACAGACACTCCACCTTCTGGAAGATCTTCACCCCCTTGGAAAACATGTTGTTACAATGCACCTAGGAAGAAGAGAACAGATCAATCAGACAAGCAGAAGATTTACTGAAACCTAAATCAAGCCTCAGGGATTTCCTATTCATGAAGATTTTCTGTTTCTAATACCTTCCTGTATGAATACTCCTAACCCAGAATGAGTGACTTGCTCCAGTATAGCTTCATCCACTCGTAGTGTGCAATGAGAACATTTGTGCAAAAAGCAATTCTGAAATAGCTCCTAACTTTACATGCAAAAGCTACATTAGTGGTCAAATTTTGGCAGGGTCTTCAAAAGGCCCATATAAAAATCAATCCAACAAACCCTGTACTAATCTAAAGCCTCATGGACCAATCCTCCTTTAACATATATCCTGAGGAGAAAGAAAAACCACACCTGGGCTCTAGCCTTTTTTAGATAGCCTTCAGCATCTGCAGTTTAAACTAATTTCTTAATTAAAAAAAAAAAAAGGTACAAGCTCAAGAAGGTACTTCCCTGACACAGCAGCTCTTCTGCTGTGGTTGCACCTTGAAGACAACCAAGGGTCTAAGTTTTAAGAAAACCATCATGTAAGCCTGCATCCATCAGCCTCTCCTGGTGGCTCATCATCAGGTTGTCCCCGCTGCAGTGGCACCACTGGTTTAGCTGATGACGCCAGAATTTAAACTGCAATCACTATGCTGCCAAGCTAACACCTCACTAAAACAAAGGCATCCTCTCTCATCTCTGAGTTATGGCTCCACAGAGTCCGCTTTCAGACTAAGCGGTTCACAAACTGCTTCCAGGCTGACTTCACACCTCCGTATTTGGGAGGTTTGATTTACGCTCCCGACAGCTGGTAGCAACTTTCTCCCTTCCTGCTCCTGGGCTGCACCCAAACCAGGAGGCTCCAGCATAAAAGGGACATCTCCATCTCCCTGGGTTGCGGCACTGCAGACCCATCAACACCAAACACCTGGCACCCTGCCAGGCCTCTAGCACTTCCAAGGAAGCAGGCTTCGCAAAGAGGGACGAGGCTTGTAAGGATCCTTTACACTGTTCCACTGTCTGTCTTCAATGCAAATCTCACCCTGCGCCTTTTTAATCAAACAAACATGACACTAAGTTCTGCCATGCAGTCCTGAAGATCTGGACCACAGTATCTCGGCACCGTGGCCAGTGACCAGGAACCAGAAGGAATAAGGTGACCCCTAAAGTCTTCAGCATCCCTCCGTCTCCTCCATTTTCACAGCCATGGTGGTCCGTCTTTCCCTGTGGAGTATTAGGAACTGTGACAACAACAACAGTTTCCAAACTAAGTGCAGCTTTGAACCCTATTAATTGCTTGGCCTCTGCGAGGTCTTGCAGTGAATAGCAGTGAAGCACTAATGAGGACGACAGGCCTGATGAGCAGTAACAAGACAAAAGAAGTGTATTTGCATATAATTAGGAACAGATGAAGCTTAGACAACGTTATTCAATAAGGAGATATGGTCATCCATACCAAGGCAGGAAAGCCTGACGCCCGCAACATACAATTTGTGCCATATTTGGACAGGAGTTGGATATGTTCGCATCTTGGACTGATACAGAGACGCTTTCTATTCCAACCACCACCTACTAATGCCCAATTTTATAATATGCAAGCCTAAGTAATTTGCAATGCAGTTGCAATATTTGCTAACATTTATTTTTAATACTTTCTTGGATACTGGGGTAGCTCAGAAAACTGGAATAAAGCTAACAGGTATGAAGATACAAAAAAAGTATTTACAGATCACCTTGCCTGTACAAAATAAATGCAAAGCTGAAAGAGGCAACATTCACTAAAGAATGAAGAATAATTTATGCTAATCAGTACAGCTTTATAATGAAATACTAAATGAAGTATCTATTTGTACAAGCTTATGTGTTTGGTTGATCAGGATGGCTGTGTTTACCTGACAGATTTTTATAAGGCATTTGATTTACTCATTAAAACATCTGACTCCAATTAGCATAGTATGAACTCATGATATTAATTTGACTAAAAATTTTCTGCTAGTAACTCTTACAAATTTTAAGGCACAAATCATTCTTCTGTAGGTGTTTTTCTAGCAGGAGTGGATTCCTAGCTCAAGGTTATTTGTTACCTTTTTCAGTGATCTGAAAAAGACAGCAGAATCACTAGCAATAAAATAAATTAAATGGTGGGGGGGGGGGGGGGTGGAAATCAGAGTTTCCTCAAATAATCTGAACTGAACAGGTTTTCAGGACTGACTCATTTCAGGGTAGTAAACCCAAAACCAAAATGTAAGCAATGCTTTCTATACTGGACTTTTATCCTGGACACTAATAACTTTGAGCTGACTTTTAGCATGATACCGAAGTCTTAATGAACACTGGCTTCCTATCCATTGGCTAGGACAACTAATATGATCATAAGATTCATAAACAAAGAATTGTCCACAAGCAGGAAATTGGTACCATTCTTTTAGGCAGTTTGATGGAAAGCCTGCACCCAGTGCCAGTTTCTGTACCTCCAAGTGCCAGTGTCTTCACCTCCAGAAGAGTACTGTCAAAGAAAGGACGGATTGGAAGATAGCTACAAAAATGACCCTGGATCTCACGGGGAAGGCATTGAGAAGTTCAGCCAACTTAGTTTACTAAAACAAAGATTAAGAGAGTGGTTTAATCACAGTGTAGAAGCAGGAAAATTTCTGAGAAGGCAGGACTCTTATTTTTGCCAGTGAAAGCAGGCTAAGAGCCAATGGTTGCAAGTTAAAAATAGACAAAATAAAACTAGGGTAAGTAACCACCAAAACAATTTACTTAAGGATGTGGTGGGTTCTCCTTCATTTGAAATCTCTACAAGAAAAGCCACGAATCCTTTTTAAAAAATCCTGCTGTTTACTACAGACTCCAAAAGTTCAGCTCATCCTTTTCCTGTGTGTTTAAGTAATTTCCCACAGCACAAGCACAGACTGAGGCATCCAAAGAAATTTTTGGTCAAAACGGAAGCACAACCACATTCCTTTACCTCAAGGGTCAGGTGGGCCCTAGACAGTAAGCAGCCTACATCCTAAATCCATCTCGGTTGCCAACAGGGGCTGCCTAACCACTGCTTGATGTGTCTGCTTTTTATTCCTTTAAGCCAAATACTGAAAGGAGTGTGTCTGAGGTCTGGGAAGACAAGTGCTCCCCTGCTCCACCTTTCTACCTTGGCAAACTTGGGACATTTCCTGCTAAAATTCTGCCTCTGGTGGGCTTTGCTGTTGGGCACCTTATATCCTCCTGCTTTGGGAAGAGGATCCAAAGGGGTAACGTGGAAGCACCCAGACCCAAAGCCTGCCCCAGGCTGCTGGAGAGGCACAACGCTGACTACCTTCATGGAGGTGAAGTTCCGTGGTCGGTCAAACTGGAATTCCATTTCAACAGAGCCTGTGCTGAAGCTCTCGTTCTTCCAGCCAACATAGTCATAGCCTGGCCACACACGGTACTGGTGGCTCTGCGTGAAATCGTCCAGTCCTAGCACACCATCCGTCAGCTGGCCCAGACCGCCATACAAGTGCCTAGCAAGAAAGAACCAACAGTTAGGCAGAATACCAGCTGGGAGTGCTCAGATGTGAAAGCACACGGGTCCTTCAACTGGTTCCAGGAAAAACATTAGTTTGTTTATTCTTAACCCATCCTGGACAAGAACTCATTCCCCGTTCTTATGCAACATCACCTTTATTTTGTTCAGGCTGGGCTTTTAAAACCTCTTCCTGCTTGGGAAAACATACAAGTTTTTGCATTTATATCAAGCGCTGACAGCAAAGCCAAGCTACAAGCAGAGTCTCTTGAGAACGAAAACAGACTGCAGAAAACGACACTGTATGCTCTCCAAACAGAGCTTTAATTGCAGCGTTTCACCATGGAGCTGCATGGAGGAACACTGCTCCATCCTGCCCTGGGGGAACCAGTGGTGAAAGTTTTGCAAGGGAGGCACAGAAAAGCAGGAAAGAAAGCAGTGAGACCACGGGCAGCTCACCCAGCCACAGCCAGTTCTAACTGGGATTATTCCTGGCATCGCTCCTTGTGCAAGAGAGCGTTATCAGCTCTGTTTCCAAGGCTGATCAGACTCTTCACCCAGGACCCTGCCTCATTCCACCTCCTATCCAAGAGTGCAGAGCCCACTATACAGTTTTCCAACACTGTCCCAGAGTAGAAGATGCCAGATGTGGTACATTCCTGACCCACCTGCCTTCTGGGAGCCATCCCTGCCGTGTCCCTTGTCCTACAGCAGGGAAAGTGCAAACAGTTCAGCTCTATTAGTGCCCGAACTTGCTCCCTGGACCCGTTTCATTCAGCTGCCTCTAGGCAGTCTCCCTAACCTGGGCTGGGCGGCTGCTGCATACACCAAAGGTCTCCACGTCCATTCCAGCTGAGCCCTCCTGTCGGTAGGATTTGCACAGGTATGCACGCCTTTGCACTCTAAAACAGGACTAGCAGCTGGAAGAGGCAGAGCCCTGCTCCCAGGCCAGTCAGGCACGGGACCCAGAGGTTACGCAGTTTGAAAGCCTCCTTGCTTAGCACGCTGGGTCCTGCGCCTGCAGCTGTAGCTCCCTGACCCTCCCCAGCAAACCCAGCTTCCCACATTAGTGCGGGACAGCCAAGTGCAACACCTACATCTTTCTGCACACAACCCCCCCTTTTCTTTTTTTTTTTTTTAATATCCAATCCCTACTATATCAATGCAGCTTGAAAGCATCAGACATCAACATATGAAGACATTGTTACTTGATATCTTGCAACAGCCTACAAGCATGAAGAATGCACTTTCCAAGCCCTTACTTGAACCTCCAGTGGGATAATACACAAATACATTTATAAAAATCCTCTCTAAACATAAAAAAATTATAGGCAACAGCAAAAATTTTCAGGAAGTTAATGACAACTGAAACAGGACACATAATAAAAGCACTTTAAGTCAATGGATGACACCAGGTCACTGAAAAGACACTGTCAGATCACTTATTAGGCACATTCCTGCACAGGCAGCGATGTGCCACCTCAAGAGGATACCCATGCCCGAACTTTTCTGAGGTTTCAAGCCATTGAAACACACTCAAATCTGTATTTATAGCAAAGAAAGCGGTCGCACTAAATGTGTGAAAGTTCAGGCAGTTATTTAACATTTCAGATACAGACTCATAATGAGCTCTCCTTCCATGAGCATCAATCTCTGGTAAACCAGAGACACCTCAAAATGTCGCTAACATGCCACCCTAGCTAACTAATCTCAGTGATGCGAAAAATTAACAGACCTTGTAATGAGCTGTCAAAATCCAGTTACTTTAGGCTTTTTGATTCCAAATTGGAAAAGCATCATACCCAAGAAATCTTTACAGTGAGTAATCAGCCACCTTCCTCTCCTACCACATTGGCAGTGGCGCCTCTGCTGACCTGGAGCTTCTCACAGGGAGTGATGCAGTTTTCCAAGTTGTTTCAAGTCCATCAGAGCTTTGTTTTCAAAAACAATATCTCCAATCTGTCCAAAAGCTCACAGGTATCAAGTGCAGGCCTAGCGTTCAGGTGTTGCGCACTTTCTCGGATGCCCAGTTTACCCTGGAGACCTCCTGCAACAGTTTAAGATGCAGTCTGCTAGAGAATGCATTTCAGATATCAAACTCCAGAAGCAACAAAGGCAATGAAGAGGGGAAGGACCTTCATCTGCTCCAGGGACACTGGGACTGCGCAGGTAGAAGGTCCAGCCGGCTCTCCCACTCCAATCTGGGGCAACAGAAGAGTAGTAGCACCTTATGATCTGCAGTATCAACAGCTGCTTAGGGCTATACCTGAACCAACAAAGGAATCAGTGCAATGAATATGGTCACAATTAGAGACCACGAGCAACGAGGGCTGTAAGGCAGTCGGACACATCAGGACTGTGTCATCACATCATGTAAAGATGGAAGCTATGAACAAAGACAGCACTTAGCTGTAGAAGGACACACTCTTCTCTTTAAAGAGAAGGAACAACTTCCAATAACAAAAAATTTATTTCTTTCCTGCCAGCCTTTGTCAGCTGGAGGAAATGAATCTGATGGACCCTGAGCCCATGCCCTCCTTTAAAAGAGCAACTAACAACATGTCACCAAAGGACCTGGAACAATGAAGACACGATGCTTTGGAGAACTAGCAGGCTAGCTTGCAGCTCTGGAAGTCTCAAAGAAGTGTTTGGGATACAAGATACTAGTGACAGGGTAAGTAGGAAAGAAGAGATAATTTGCACAGTGACCGAGAGAGAACAGGACGACTTCTCCCACCTGCGCTCCTGGTAGCCATCATAGGTCGAGTCATTCAGATAAACGATGGGGAAGCCAGGAGCCGCTATTGTCCCTCCTTCAGGGATGCTATAGGATGCCAAACCATCTAAAAAAGAAGGCCATATACCTCAGAAATACAGCAGCAGCAGCCTTCCATCATCTCTGTCCATATGATCCTTTTATTTATGATGTGGACCAACAGAAGCAGTTCCGTGGGCCTGGGATTCCCTCTGCATACGTCGGGACGCAGGTGAGTCCCAGAGAGCATTGTATAAGGACTACTTTCCAGTGACAGGCATGGAAATTGCTACTTACCATACCAGACACAGCCATAGAGCTCCACCCTCATACAGACAGTCATTGGCATCTCCGTCACAGGAATCACCCGGATAAAACGTGCAATGATGGGTGGCCGAAGATCTTTCAAGACCACGTCGTAAGTATCGATGTTGCCTTGGATCACCTGGAGAAGAGAGTTCCTTATCAGTAACTTCTCCCTGTTGTGCAGTTAATATGAACAGTGGTGTACTTGTACCCTAGTGTTTGAGACTGGGGAGCTTTCCCATGCAGTGTCTGCAGAGGATTAGCTGCTGCTGCCCCCCCCTCCTACCTGGTACATGGCTTACAGGGTGCTGCCATTTCACCTCCTGTCCACTGCAGACCCACAGCAGGCAGTACTCTGAGGGAGAGGAGAAAGGCAAGCGGGAGATGAATGTACATGTGGACTATGTTGCAGAGAGCTCCAGTTACTAGTACGTAACCTCTCTTCAAGTGAGTCTCCATGTACACTCTATCAGCAGGTAACTGAGCACTGGCCCTCATCACTAGTTACCTGGTGAAGGGTGCCGATATCCTTTTTCTATGAGCCAACAAAAGTCCAGGGGTGCTGCAGTGTTTGGGGGATGAAGGTGCAAGCAGCTGCATAGCAGATGTCTTGAACTGAAGTGTTCAGCATTGCCACAGCCACCCCATCCTGCTG